ATAATTTAAATATATATATATATATATATATATATATATATATATTTTTAGAATATAATTTTTATTTTTTAAAATATATTATTTTTTTAATAAAAAAATTTGTATATACAAAATGGTAGTGGGGGTAAGTGCCCCCACTCTCTTGTATGTAAATCCGTCGGTTTTTAACTAATATTAGGAACGAGAATCTTGAATATCATTGCAACAATATCAGACGATTTCTACATGAAATTTACTTTGTATGCTAAATGACATAAGCTATTTACTAACGCTGTGTTTGATTATGCATCAGTCTTCTAATGCGGATTGAAAACAAGAAAAATTAGAAACTATTTTATATTACTTCTTGATACAAGTTTGGTTTTGAATTAATTATGTGAATCATGTTCCACAAACGCCAAATAAAATAAGCTATTAAATAGATATATGAGTATTTTTTGACTTAATACTAAGATACAAGATGAAAGACGCTATAAAAAAAACAAAAGTTGGTTTGCAGATCAAATTAATGTTTGTGTGAAAAAACTTAGTGACAGGAGGCTTGTTAGCTTCGAGAAGAATGATGAGAAATTTGTCGTAGGACGGTGTTGGGTTAGATTATAGACATTATTTATGTGTTGCAATTGCAATTACTCAGCATAGATAGATGTGATGAGAAATTTGTCTTAAGACGGTGCATGATTCAGGACGAGAAAAATAGATAGATGTGAACATGCTTGAGGTAGGGGTTCAACTACCTTAACAACACTTCTATTAGAAGAATCTTGCCAATTAACTTGGTTTTAGTTTGGTGTGGTCACCTAGAATGGAGTTTTTCATATATATATATATATATATATATATATATATGTATTTATATAAATTTGAACCGCAGTCATTATAAGACAAAAACGGTGTTAAGAAAAATCATGTGAAACAAAAGCGTATCTAACATGAGATGTTATGTATAGGGGATGAGAGTCGTTGATAATCCATTCCAGGCAAGAGCCTAAAACAAAAAAAAATAATATTTCTTAGGATCTCAAGCAAATGAGATTTTTTTTAAAGTATTTACTAATAATATCTCACAAAAATACAAATAATTAAAGAAAAATATCAATTAGTTAAAAAGTAGTATATTGAACGCATAGATTTTTTTTAACAACGATAATCTTTTACATGCAAAAGTACAAATAAAGAAAAAAAATCATATCAAATTCTAGTTAACTTTGAGTGGAATCAATTATTATAGAATTAACTCACACTAAATCAAGTTGACTTAACTCACTTTCAATCCTAATTTTCCTCAATGATAAAGTATTAAGTAAGGAAACATATATATAGTATAATAACAACATAATAATTTTATAATTAGGTGATTGAAGCCGCTAAACGAGATATACTATAAAATATGGTTTGTCTGCGAAGATCTTGTTCTTTAGAAATCTTAAGCTATGTGACTTATGTTGCTTATGATATAATACTTGAATGATGTGTATGAAAGAAATTAATTTTATTCTTTTATGATGAACATGATGGGTTATATTGAATTGACATGTTTGGTGTTGAGTAATTATATATGTTGCTTGAGTTGAAATGGTTATGCATCTTATATGTAACCATTGAGTGTTTAAGTGTTGACACAAGCCTATGGTGACTATAAATGATGTGTGTGATTACTTATGTATAGTGTTGAGATGTGGGTGCTTAGATGTGTGTACTTAGGCATCTTGTTAAAAGCAAATGTAAGGAAGGTCTAAACTCCAAATTCACATAGTTAAGTGTAGTGATGGGAAGGCCTAATCCTCTTCACCCATTTCTGAATATGATTTAAGGCAGTTTAAAAGAGAATGATGAATTTAAGTGTTTTGTTAAGTTGATCAACGACAGGTGTAAGATGATTGGATCTCTGAGAACTTGGTACTTCGTGATCCCACGTAAGGATGTGTTTTCTGAAAATGTGATTCTCCTTTAAATAATGTTGTGAAAGTAGAACTTTGAGTGTGTGATTATGAGAGTCAAAGCTTCACTATTTAAATTATATGCAATATCAACTGGAATATATATATATA